CGGCTATATCCATAGCTGCGGTTCATAGCTCTTTTGTACGACTGATTTTTACATTATTATTTATGTTCGTAGTATGGTTTTGTATCTTGTCAGTCGCCTCTGGGGACGACTAATACCGTCGAACAATAAAAAAAGACGTGCGGCGACAAGAGAGCTATGAAACACATACGGCTATTCATCGAATCACGATGGAATACGTGTCACTGAGAAAATATTAAACCGGTACTGATGGTGCGATATTGCACTGAGTACCGTTGCATCGCCTGAGCGTGGATGGTCTGTGCGAATGCACATGAAATCGTAATGCGGTCAATCATGTCAGTCGTGTCTAAGCGCAAACATATATTCAACGTCATCAGAAGGTACTGACATGTTTTTACGGAGTTTAACTGAGAGAATATTACTAGCTGTACTAACAGTATGACATTGCACAGCCCTGTGTAAATGCCTGTTGTTACAGCCGCTAAAAACTGTAGGGTGGCGTACACATTGCACATGGCTACACATTTCACCGAAAGTACCGTTCGCTTCGCCTGAGCGTGGGTGGTCTGTGCATGGATTTTGTTTAAGCTCCATGGTCTGTGCGAAGCACACAAAATCGTAATGCGGTCAATCATGTCATTGGGTAAATGGAATCAAACACAAAAATATTATTACATCATCGGTAGGTATTGACATTGTTTTCTTGGCCCCGTGAATCATAAAAAACGATCAAAACGCGACTCGATGTTGTCAACTTGTCGTTTTCAAATTAAACATTTTGAAGAAAAAACGAACTCGAGCGTTGACGATAGCATTATGCTGATATATATCCAAAACTCGTAAAGACTAATGTACTTTTATTGAATACAGTCAAAACAAAGTCAGCTTGGACATTCAGTTGTGAGACATGACAAAATAAACTGTGCCAGCGATAGATTTTGCGAATGCAAGAACAAAATAAACGCAATCAAAATGCGTCGACCACTCGCGTTGGAAATAAATAGAACGAGTTGTGACAAGATATCTCACCTGCATCTTTCACTCGCGCAAACGCAAACACATCCTATTTCTATATATAGTGTACGATCGCAACGGAAGGAACAAGTTTAAATCATTTTTGTATTATTAAACACAACTTGAAAGCAACAGTCTCACACTGAATCAATCAATGTTTATCAATTATCAAACTAAACATTCAATGAAGCAGACTGACGGTTAAGACGAAAAAACAAGGATAAAACGAAAAATGAATTGAATATCCATCTTCTGAAAAAAATCAGCTAAACAGTTTACCACCACAATTATGGTGAATTAGCGAGTTATCGACAGAGACGACCGGACGTCTCCGGTCATGAGCTGGCTGGTTCGAATTTATCCACTTTTACAGTGATGAATATTGCGTTCGAGTTGAGTTACTAGTAATTACAAGCCTGATCTACATTTGTCTTGTGGTGTTTTTCGTCAATGTATTAAATATAAGTGCCCTGGGAAATAGCATAATTATATTGCGTGAGTGAAAGAGGCCGGTGAGACTGTGTCACAACGCGTTCTATTTATTTCCAACGCGCGTGGTCGGTCCCTCTGATTGCGGTTATTTTGTATTTTTATTTTCGAAATGTATCACTGGCTGCGTTTTTTTATACATCTCGTAACTGAACGTCCAAGCTGACCTTGTTTTAGCTGTAATGCCAGGCAGGGGGAAATTTTATTGCTTTTCGGAAAACACCACTATCCAACCACATTTCATCGCATGTGAGGTCATGACAGTCAACTCACTCATGGACGTACTATGACTCACTGAACTCTTGAAGTACACGTAAAGTGACTGGTCATTTTTCGACATGATTGGTTGCGACCCGGAAGTAGTTCACTCTCGCTCAACTTTCCTGGTAAGTAGCGTGTTTATCTAATTTCCATATTTTTCTTAAATTGGGATTATCTCTTGAAGAATTCGACATATTTGACCTTTGAGTCAACTTTGATAGGGAGATGTGCATTGTTGTAATAGATGCACTATTAAGGATAATTCACTAATTGGATTAAATCCTAAACAACTAGACAGATTTTGACCAAATTTTATAGAGATGTACATTGATGTAATCGTCATGTCATATTATTGGGTGTAACTCCTGCGGAGTGTTGTCTATTCGTTTTGCGCTTTGGCGCTGTTTAAGTGCTGTTTTACCTTCTGGTGCATAGCGCCCTCTGGGGTTGAAGGTCTCCAGCGAAGATTAAATAGTTATGACGCAGTTGTAATGTGCGTCCACTTCTCTAGTTTTTCATGACTATTAGCTGTGACCCGGAAACGAGGTATGATTTTATAGTTTTTTGAACATACACCGATTTCAGTCGATATGATTTTGTGTAATTTTGAAGTCTTTTGCAAGAGAAATCGAGAGTTTTCTGATCGTGAACCCGAGTGGTATAAAATGGTCGTGTTGTGTTGGTCTGACCTATGACCCCAATTCGTTCACACTTGTATTAGACGTTGATGGCGTTTTACCGCACTATCTCATTCAAAATAATATGTTATTGTATTTGTGTACTTAAGATTGTTATTGTTTTATTTTGCTTCACAGTTTTACGTGATTGTGATTGTGATTGTGATTGCCAATGTGAACTGTGATTAAGGACCACATGACTGATTTATCGTGATTCATGTGAATAAGTTGAACACAGTGAAGAGTGAATAAAACGATATATTGGTGATATAGAACTGAGTGACTTGTCAATATCTTAATCGACACTCATCATATAACACAACTGCCATAGAACACAAAGGTTTTTGTAAATTTATAAAGTTAGTCATTTATCGTACAATGTAATGCATTGGCATCTGGAAAAAGATTGCACTTTTTTAATGCAGGTCATGTATATTTAAATACAATTAACTGAACATTTTATTCAGAATCAGGACGTGAAACATCTTATTAAAGTGATTACAGTAACCGAGTGACTTGAGTAATAAGGGCTTGAAAACTCACAATTGCCAAATAGTGTTTGATGACAAGCCTCTTCATGAACAGTTTGCTGGCTATGCTGCATGCTTTCTTGTTTAGTGCCAGACAAAGAGCACCACTTGTTGAATAGTCCAACTGGTGAACAAATCTACATAATGAAATAAATACGGTAGCAATTTGAGCAAAAGTTTTCTTTTAATTAATATTGTTTTAGTAATTTGTAGTAGCAATAGTCATTAAAGGCATCAATCAATTAAATTCAGAAGTATAAATATGGTTTGCATGTATGAATATGAACCACTAAATTCCAAAAACTATGTTTACATAAACTATAAGATACTGTAAAATACTTTATTTTAGCTGGAATTAATTTCTTTTTTTGGGTATTTCATATGACCTTTATTATCACTTATGTTTGATGAGTTGAATATAAAATATAATAATAAAGGTATTTTGCTAGATTTTATTTTTACTGAATCTTCCCTTCAGCAAAAATAAATTATTTTAGATTAACTATATTTAAATCAGGAAAATGATGCAACTTTTGTGAAGGGAATGAAATTTAAATAAATCAAGATAAACTTTACAAATTATTGTCTTCCCGCATTATGTTTTGAGATATTTTTCAGGACAGCATCACTGTGAAAAATTTTTTGGATCTCTTAAACTATGTGTGGGTATTTTCTCGTCATTTCCACCGTAGGATTTTGTTTTCAAAATTGTCTGTTCACAGATTTTTCATCATAACAAAAAAGACAAACCTAAAGCCATGTACCAGTTGACTGTCCACTAACTCCGGATACAGATGCTTCAGTTGGGTATCCACGGTTACCGCCTCACATGGTCCTTCATGGTTTATTCTCACATCATAATGTTTATTGACAATTATGTAATTATCATCTTTGTAAATAATTGATATATCTTGTAATGTCGGAACTTTGTTCATCTCCATGTCTTCTATGAAATATGTCATCTCCAGCATAGGCACACCTCAGGGTCAGACAAAAAACAGAACAATTCCCAGTGAAAATATCGTTTTTTTACGTTCATTGTAAATTATCATAAATTTTTCGATTTTAATGTGAATTTCATAAAGCAATGAATCTGTTTTAAATAAAATATTCATAAATATTTTACAAATTTTCAATAACCAAAGAATAATTACTTTTGCGCATGAGCAGAACTACGTTGTAAACTCAACTGTGAGTCGTGTTCAGTAACAATTCTACACAATTTATATAACAAAAATATGTTTTAATTTAACATTGCAAATACCATAAAGCGGAAATGGATTTAGTCTACCTTTCAGCAAAATATCGGAGCACTGAAGACAACTTAAAGATAAACTCAATCGTGTGCGCAGCTACAGTCCCAGACTGGCGCAGCCATGTAAATCGTGTTTACCAGTGCTGAGCCTCCGAATTATCTTTTGTGTTTAGACAATACACGCAGATGGCATATCCAATCAAAAGTATGCCGTGCAATGTGAGCGACCATTGCGTTTTTCGGATTATAAGACGTTAAGACGACTGAAAAGGATAACCAGTTCTTAGATGACCTTACATATTGACCTTTAGTTGTACTGCGCATGCCCATTGACATGACGCGCGGGATTTCTAAAACATGTTGACTCTTTTATAAGTTTCGTCATATTCTGGCAAATTTGAAACCATTATAAGGAAGATGGACCCCGAAGACGATATCGGTGGTTACGAGGATGACTATGCCGACGAACTCGAACTGATGGCAGAGATGGACGAAGGTCAGTGTCAACTTCTGCTTTCAAATTTAATTTTGACATTTGCCCCACCTAAAGAGGGCAGAAGGCCAATGATGTAAACAAATATACCGTGTGGAAAAAGGAATATTCACTGAGTTTAAATTTAGCGAATTTGATGTGAAAACTAGGTTTTACGTTCACTTGTTTGTGGAGGAAACAATACTTGCAATTGTTAATTTTGCCTATTTAGTGGGTTTTATATTCTGTTGTCATTGGAAATGTGATGGAAAATTTCACCAAATATAAAAATCTGCAATTGACAGCAAAAATAAATTCAACACAACTGAATTTAGGAAAAAATAGTCTGAAAATGTGCCACAACTTAGTCCAGAAAAAAAATAAAAATTGAAAGCAAGAAATGTTATTTTTCACTATCCCCTATAAATACTGGATTGTTTGAGATATTGTGTATGAAGTGTTAGTAAATTAAATCACAGTCCCTCTCTACTTTGGTAAAATTGAAAAGGGAAAGCAAAAACATATTTTCCATATACATAAATAATATAAATTTATCTCCAGTTAACTACTCTATTTGAGCAATACCCTAGCGTGGGCGATGTTTTGGAAAACAGTTCATATTTTTGAAAAGAGTGCTGACTCCAAAACATCACCCAGGGGGTTTTTTTGGTGCATTTTTTCATCACTATTACAATCCATTGTAGCCTGAAAACAATATACTACCGGTAACACCTGAGCGGAGCGAAACAATCTCTCGGCGCAGTCAACAAAGACGCTTACAGTGAGTGTAAAGTAATAATATTATGATTGTTTCCCCGATAAGCACCGAGTGATGTTTACAGTTTTGCTACAATGTTTGTCTTTGGTCCGGTAGAATATTTTTTTAGAGTGGACGCGCGATCCAGACGTCACTGGCGAGTCCATTTTCAAGTAAAGGGACTGTTAAATTTAGTTCAATCTCAGTTAACAAATCGCACACGTAGTCAAATCTACACACATCGCACTAAAATAGAAATTAATTATTATTAAGGAATTAGCATTATATACATAAACAGCTTCATTACCATATCATAGAATGTGTGTGATGGGGTTGCGGGTGCCCCTCCTGTGATTTACAATAATCAACCGAATCAGATTTCAGATCGAGGCGTTCAGAACATAGTTCAATTCTGACCATGTCTTATCAAGTCCAAGTAAATTATTGGAATAAATCAAGACATATTTACATCAGGGAAACGTTCAGCTATTGTGAGTTCATCGAATATATCAAGGAACAAGTTCCTTCGTTACAGAGTTTAGAGTTTCAGATCCAGTACCAAAATGACGAAGGGACCACGATGACACTCTCCAATCATGAACTGGACATGGCGGAATTGTTTCGCTGTGCGAAGACAGTTGCCGGCGCCGAAAACAGGCGGATAAAGGTGTCTGTCGTTGAAGGGTGTTCACCAGCCCCCAGCGTCAGTTCCCATGTTTACAGGGAGCAAACTAGCATGTCGAAACGGTTGAGGTTTGAATGTGATGGCAAATTAGATGATACAGAGAAAAACAAAGAACAGGAATCAAGTGTCCCATTTTGTTTATCAATCACCGCTCGAGCTAGCAATCAAAATGAAAGAAAGAGAATTGAATGATATGAAAGTAGAACTGACAACAGGTCAAACCCAGATCTGTGACCAAAATGACAAATATGCCAAATGTGTACCCGAAGATTCAACGAAAAAATGTTGTGGAAAATATCATCTTCGTGACTCTCATACTCGGCGAAATTTTCCATACGAATCCTGTTGTTCAGCAGAAATTTGTGGGGACATCAACCACCCCGACCATGCCACGGAGAAAACTACATTGATTAGCCTAGGTAAATAGCGTGACGATCTTTCGAAAAATATAAAGAAGAAAGAGCTCGAGCTCCAGCAGAAAATAGACACGAAGAATAAGGTTTTGTCTACATTCGAGCGGCAAATCGAAAGTTGGTTGATCAATAGTAACCCGTCCAAGTACTTGGTTGCAACTGTAATCGGCGATACACCGAAGCAGTGGTTAATAAACAAACATGCCAGAATTTTGAACGAGCATTATCATGGCCAAGTACCAAAACAAATAAAACAGGAATATCGTCGATTCCCGGTATCATTTCTGAATATGAACTTGTTCACTTACAAAAGGGTAAAGCCATGAAACCAAAAGACAGAGTTCGCGAACGTTTGGAAAATAATCCAGTATACAAAATAAAGTTCCCTGAAAAAACACCTCGTCAACTTTTGCCTGGAGTTTCCGACCATGATTTACTGAAAACTAAAAAGAATCAGAATATAATTAGCAGTACTCATTCTGAACTGTATCCTCAAACAAGCTATGAGGAAGAAAAACAAATTCAACAAGCTCTACAACTTAGTAGTTCGTCTCAATCTACACATATGATGCCCACCGT